ACAAGGATTTGAAATTTAATACCAGGGACTGGGTTGGAGATAGACTTGGAAATCACTAGTGTAAAGAGAATAAATGAAGTTGTTTAATGAGAAAGAACAAAGTTTAGTTTGCAATACCAATATTTAAGGAACAGAAGGTTGAGAAGAGCAGCCAGAGAGTTGAAAGGCAGTTCTGGGTGTGTAGTGTTATAGGAAAAAGAAAAGATAGGGTTTAAGAAGGCCAGCCTAGTCCCTGATAGAGAATATGGAGGTAAAGTCAGATAAGACTGGGAATTCTCTTTTAAATCTAGGAAAACAAGGAGGTAGTTAGAGAATTTAGAACAATATTGGATGCGGAATTCAGATTGCAAAGGGTTGGGAATTAAGTGAGATGTGTGTATGTGAAAGTGAAATAATCAAACTAGACAAACTCTTTCAAAAGTTATTCTGTTTTGCAGTAAAACTTCTCAAAAAAAAAAAAATCCAGAACTAAGTTATCAGTTCTCTTGTTATCTATGCTCAGGTATTTGGTGACCTCATCCAGGCCCATGTCTTTAAATATCATCAGTATGCCAGAGGCTCTCAAATTTCTATCTGCATAGTTGGAATCTATTTCCTAAACTCAACACTTGACTGTTCAGCTGCCTACTCATCATCTCCATCTGAAAGTTGAATGAACAACTCAAACTTAAAACTGACCTTCTGCTTTTCTCCCAAGCTTGTGCCTCCTGGAGCCCTCGCCTCAGTGATGCATCCAAGTTTTCTAGATGCTGAGGCCACAATCTGCACTCACTCTTAATTCTTCACTTTCTCTCATGCTCCTTATAAACTCCATTACTAAATACTGTTGATTCTACCTTGGAAATATATCCAGAATCTGACCATTTCTTACCTTGCCACCAACATCACTCCTTCTAGAATTATTGCAATGAGTCTCCATACCTAAAACTTTGCTGACTTTAGCAAAGTCAGATTTACATACTCACTTTCACAGACACACATCTCAACACAGCAGCCAAAGATATCCTTTTAAAAGGAAGAACCTCAAGAACTTGAGACCTTGCAGAAGACTGCAAGTACTATATTTCAACAGCAAGAAAGAAAAGGATTGGCATCACTGTTTGAAAAGAGTTACTCAATTATCAAGAGAGGAGGCTGGAAACTTCAGCCTAGAGGAGTGCAAATGCATGTGTTACTTAAACACTGCAGGGCCAAATACTTTGATCACTAAGATATGGAGTTCCTGATGGGCCAGTCTTAGTTCGTCAGTTCATACCATGGAAATCCTCATCCTGGTGGACCAACAGGAATTTTAAAACCCCTGAGGTTGGAGCTGACATAAGAGGCTTCAATAATTACAGTATTAGATTCTAGTTTTATTGAACACTCTGTCTACTGAGAACTCGGGCTGATTCTTTGAAGGCAACATGAAGAAAACCCATGAAAACAGTGTTGATGGAATTCATTCCTGTTATTATAGCTATAGTTTGTTAATATCATTGCTATATGATATTCTACTGTTAATGTATCCCAAGATATTAGATTGTTGAAGGACTGTTTGGAATATAGTTTGGAATAATCATAAATAATGCCACAATAAACATTATATGTTGAAAAAATGGAATGGCACCCTGATTCTCTGGATTAAGCCATCATCCTTACAATCATCCTGAGGTCTTATGTTATTTCTCTGACCTCATATCTACTCCTCTCCCCCTTGGCTAGTCCATCCAGTCAAACCAGAAGTTAAGCAGTCTTCACACATAGAAGGTACTGTCCTGTTGCAGAGCCATTGTACAGGTTATTTCTTCTCCCTGGAATAATCTTAAGGTCTCTACCACGTTCCATTCTTCCTCTCTCCTTTAAGTCTGCCCCCATGTCTGCTACGTGAAATCTACCTGAACATACTATGTAAAATTGCAATTACCTTCTTCAATCCTCTCATTTCTCCTATCCTGCTCTATTTCATTTCTTCATATAATTTATTTTATATAAATTCACATACAATATATTTCATTTTGCTCATGATTTAGTCAGTCTTTCCTTGGATAGATGGAAAGGCTTAGAGGGCAGGGATTTTTTGTTTGTTTGCCTGGCACACAGGAGTTCATGACTACTTGTGGAAGAGGAAGAGAGGGAGAGAGGGAAGGAGTAAAAAGAGAAAGAAAGAAGGAAGGAATTCATCCCTAAAGAGGAAGAAATAATAGGGCAGTCAATAGACTCCTGAAAAGGATTTTCTAAGATAGGAGCCATCTGAAGATACCCCTCTTCTGTGGGAGTCAGCAGAAGATGAGGATATTAGAGAATGAATCGAATCAGTTTTGAGAGTGTGACAAGAAATGGAATCCAGAACATAGGTGATGGGATTAACACTGAACAAGTCCAGGGCTGCAGAATGGAATCTTAAAGCCTGCTAAAAATTTCCTCAAGTCTTCAGCAAGGGTGGACAGGCTAAAAATTTTTCCATGGGATTTGTATTGTTATGCAATAGTTGGTTTCTGGGATTCTGAGACTGACTCCTTCTTGATATCAGGGCCTGGCAATTTTTAACCAAGTCTTCCCCACTCTGCTACTACCCTCAACCTGTCTGTCCTAGATAGGCCAAGGGATAACCTTTACAACTGGAGGGAATTATCAAAGGCTGAGTGCTGATGCAGGTGAATCGGGGTTACTAATTGGATCCCATGATGAAGTGCTGCTGTGTAGTTTGTTGTTTCCTGTTTCCCCCCAACACAGATGAGGTTATCTGCTATGATTTAATTGTGCTGCTGGGAGTAGGCTTTAAGGTAGGAGGACAGGGAGGTTTAGTTTTTTTTTTAATTATGAAGAATGGGAGAATATTAGGAATTGCTGCTGTAGTAATAGGTAGAGAAAACTCATTGGGAGAGCAAAAGCACAGAATTATGTGTAGTTTAGGTTAATGACATGAACTCATGATTGCTAGAACTTGCCCAATTGTGCAATTTTTCTCAGTAATGCTCAACATCCCAGGTGCAGGGATGGAACTTCAGCCTCAGGGTTATTTATTTTTTCTTTAACCAGGTAAGTAAGTCATAACAATGGGGCAATAATTCAAAGCAGCAAAAATATTTTGGCTGAAGTGATGAACAATGAAATCTAAGCTAGGCGAAGAAGAGAGTAGAGATTAAAAGAGGACCAACTAGGAATAAAATGGAAATTTTTATGGATATTAGCAGTGATTATCCAACTTTAACCTGTGCAAAAATCAGAACCAGATCCTGGAATTTTTGTTCACTAAGCCTGTGGTGAACACCAGAATCTATTTCTAACATACACCCTGTTGATTCTTATGTAATAAGGGCATGGATCAGTTTTTGAGAAATGGTGGATTTGAAATTATATTATGTTTTAAAAAAATTATGTCTTGAGAGGGTCTGAGAGGGAGGGAGAGAGACAGAGAGAGAGAGAGAGGAAGGGAGAGAGGGAGAGAA